CAAGCAGAGGGATAATGTGCTGGTTTTGCCATGGAAAACTAGAATTGCTTTAGATGATGAGTAAAAAAGAGAGTATGATTAAAACAAGCTGATAAGATGAAACTAAAGTGACAAGATAAAGAAGCAGAGCATCTAAGAGGGGAAGGGGAAGACAGAACTTAGGCAGAAGGGCACAAATTATTGATTGAAATTTCCACCAGAAGGTCTTTGCATTTTCTTATCTGGGAAGGGAGAGAATGAATGAGAAGTGAACAGAATTATTAAGCAGCTTTATCATTGCATTGCAGTAGATAATTAGGCACTTAGGATTACTAAAAGTTGGCAAAGCAAGAAGCCCAGAGGACTTGTGCTCCTGATTTCAGAGGAGGGTGGCAAGGGAAGCAGGGAAAAGCCTTTGGTGAGAGATTTGATGTTATGTTACAGTGAGACTTAAGGCAGAGGCTGGCTCTGGAGCCCAGTACCCTGCAGCTTCCAGAACACAGGGAGTGCAAGAGACCTGACTAATAAAAATGGACTTACTTAAAGATGGACTATCCTTGGAACAGCAACAAGAAGTGAGGTCATGAGTGAAAGCCACCGATAAGGGTTCAGGGAAGGGGAGCACAATGAGTTGGAGTCGATGATCCTTATGGGTCTCTTCCAACTCAAGGTATTCTATATTTTATGATTCTAGTAGTGGTACATGTGGACTCACTTTTTTCCATGGTGGGGGTACATGGTAGCCATTGGAGTTACTGTGTAGTAAATATTTTGTGAGCTTTTTCCAGATCTTTGCCCACAGTTAATATCCTCCTCTCCTCTGTAGAGATACTTTGCAGGGCTATAAGCTGTGGGTGCTGATCCCTGAGCCAAACACCAGGAGGTCAGATGCTTCCCTAGGAGGAAAATGTCAGACTGTGGTTTAGACGTGCAGTGCATAGGGTCTGTCATGCTACCTTAATTTCACTTTCTTTGGTCAGAAGTGACAAATACTGGATCTCCCCTGATGCAAATCATGCAAATGCTTCATTGTCAGATGATCTTTCCAACTGAACTTGAAGGCAGCTTCCAAACCCCTTCTGCTTTGACTCTCCATTGTAAATTATATCTGATCATCCCCTTTGTAAAGAGGAGCCCTGCAAAAAAACAAATTAACAACTTGGGTAAGCTGGCTGAATCTATTCTTATAGGATATGTAAAGCTATAGGACACAGTGGAAAGGAGAGGGTTGGTTTGGATGTAATGCATTGAAGGGTTCACTGATGAAAGGAGATGTTGGACCATCCAGTGCTGCATACCACAGATGCTCAAACATCATCTGTTGTCCCTCTCCTGAGCCCTCAGCCTGCATCTGTCAAAATCTGAACTTTCAGAAGGGTTTTGCTTATGAGGGTTTTTGACTGTCCCTTTGAACCAGGTTCCTCCAAAGAGCCAGGCAGGCACTGCAGGCTGGTGCATATATCCGCAAATTAGTCTAGCTTCTTTAGATCTTTACTTGGCGCTGTAGTTTCTTAACAGCTGGCTGCACGTTTTGAAGGGGAAGGCTGGATAAAAATGACTTAAAATGCACAATGCATCTCTAACTGCCTGAATTCATCCTGGGCTTGTTCTGATGCCAATGTCAGACAACCATGCTCCTTCTCTGTGCTCCTGACGTGCTTAATCTTAAACTATATGTTATTTAAAATTAATTTGCTGGGATGCAGACATTATATAAATCCCTGAGGAAATGTCAGATTATATGTAATTTTCATAAGTGCTCCACACCTATTTAATTTAGCTTCCCATGAAACCAAAGGATGAAAATCAAGCCAAGGCAGAGAGTTTGGATGAGTTGCTGTCCTTAAAATGCCATGGAGCATGAGCCAACACTGCAGACACCTGTTAGTAATTTCTCATCCAGAGACTGTTGTCATTTGTTCAGGACATTCTGTGATGAGGGAAGGAAAAAAGGGGGATGATGAAAAATAAATGGACTAGAGTATTTGTTACTAATTATTTGCTTGGCCTCACTGCAAGTCACCTAGTATTGTGGAGAGTCTTGCATTTTCATGAGAAAGTGCCATCCACAATGTTCTTCTTCCAAGACTGCGTTCAGAATATTAATTATGGATAATGATGCATAATTAAAGTCTGAAGTCCAGAATTAATTAATGGTAGCCATTTAGCACAGTTATCAATTCTAACTTGAAAAAGTGCTTCATCTCTTACCCACACCCCTTAGTGTCTGCATATAGATAAATAACTGAATTAGTAAGTGCTTGGTTTTAATGACACATTGGGTTGTCATTTCCTTGAAAGTGTTAAACCAGTTTTGTGCATTAGTGACATTGGAAGTGTTTATAATTCATGGTAATCCAGCGCTCCTTGACTTGCTATAGCCCTAGCCTGACTGTCTGGGGTGCCGGAGGGGGACAGGCCATGGCTGAGGCTGCTCTGCACTCCCCACTCCTGCCCAGGAGAGCTGGACCTGCTGCTGCTGCACACCAGTGCAGTCCTGCCAGGACACTGAAGGGTCAGCCAGGTTTTCGACCTCCTGCTACCTTAACCTCACAAATTTGGGGCCATTCTTCTCCTCTAGCAAAGGGCAGAGGCTGTCACAAGCATGTCACAGAGGCACCCAATCTGGGAGAAATCACATTGTGGTGTTTTCCTGTGGCTTGGGTTGATTCGTGAAAGCATCCAACATGCTCTACATGTCTGAAAACAGGGTTGGTTTAATAACAGGCAATTTTATAAATAGCAAATAAAGATTTGTCCTATAGAGTCTGTGGGTCCCGACGAACATGCAGCTGTTGTTTTGTGGAGCAGACAGGAATGAAGCCAGAATTTGTTTGTTGAAAATAGGTAGTAGACTATTCAGCCCCTGCCTCTGACTTGACAGAAATACTCCAGAGTTAACTGCTGCTTTTGAGGCACTGTTGTGTCAGCAGCAAGAAAGTGGGTCAACTGTGGACAAGATCACCAATCCAATATCATTATTGAGAAAGACATGTAAAAACAGGCTTTATGCTTAGCTTGAGTCAGGGCCAATTGGACACCTGTAGCTGTCTGGATGTCCATGGAGGGCATCAGTCCGAAGCTTCAAAATATGCATTATGGTTTTGAAGCTGTGCTGTTACTGTGTGACTGTGAGTCACTGTCACCATTCCTCCTGGCAGCCTGGAGTAAAACACAATAGAAACATTGAACACGGAGTCATGAGCAGGTTCTTTGGCAAGAATTTGGGATGAATTCCTTTGATTTGCAGTATTTGTATTTTTAAGCAGAATTTTCCTGTTATTTGGTCTCTCTCGTGCCTGTCAACAGGTAGTAGCAAAGGTTCTTTCCTTGAAAGTCTAAGTGAAACTTACATCCAGTGTTTGTTGTAGTGTTACACCTAGAAACCTAGCTGAGTAACCTAGCCTAGGGGAGCCATGCATTTCCTTGCTCTCTGGTGTTCCACTGGAGTGATGTTCAAGGCATACAGGCTTGAACTGGCAGAGGGTGTTGATCATGGCCCTTCGTAAATTAAATTTACTACTCTTAGTCCACGCACGTCAGGACTAATGGTGGGAAGAGTTGATAAAAGTAGACCTCTTGTCTTTTCCTAGTGCTGTAGGTGTCTGTCTCCTAGATAACTCATTTTTTTTCTTAGCTGCCTGTCAGAAATAAGTGGATTTGTGTGTATGCATCCATGCTTGTTTCACAAAGACAATTTGGGGTCCTTCTGTTTGGAAATTATTATGTTACTAATACTTAAGAAGGAAGTATTCAAATAACTTTGAACGTGTTAGAGTTTAATTCATTTAATTCAGTGATGCTGAATTCTGGGCTGGGTCTTGCTACTTCCTAGATGCTGTGGTTCTCTGTATTGTATCTGAGACAAAACCACCATTTACAGATTGCCCTACTGCCGCACCCTCACGGTAAGGCTCTGATTTCAGAAGGATGGTTACCCTGAGTCGTGTACGTGCATGTGCAGACTCTAATATTGCTAATGCAAGCTTTGAATGGACCTTCTGTAAGAAAGCAGACTTAGGGTCTCACTCTGTAAACAGTGTGTTACATTTGGGATCTAATGTGTCCTGGGAGAAATGTCCCACAGAAGGACACTGGTGGATCTAGGAGTCCCCTTGTGCTTGTAGCCTTGTCCTCCTGGAGAAATGGGGGTCCTTGACCAAGGCTTAAAACACAGCTGCTGAGCCCTGAAAAAAAACCCTGATATTTAACTGTTTGATTGTCCTTAAACTCATGAGCAGGAATTTGTTAAAATACCAGTGGATCTCTCAGAGGCTGAGCATTTTGTCTTTGGTGTGGTAGAGACAAATCCAGTCACCTGTGGAGTTCATGAGTCGTTTACCTGCTGCTAAGCACTTGCAGTTCTTTGAGATCAGCTGAATATTTAATCCCAAAGTACATGCCATTAAAGACTTTTAATTCTTGGGTATCATATTTCATGGGGCTTATATTAACTGTTAGGAAATTAAAAGTCTCTGTGATGGCAGTGTGAATTTACTTAATTTAGTAATTTAGCACCTCCAGTGCTATCCCAGTCTTCTGGTGACTTCTCAGGCAGTGGGCTGCTTCCAGAAAAGCAGGGGAATAAAAGACAGGGAATACTACTTTTTTAGGCATCACTACAGGCTATGCCTCATAAAGGGGAGAATATCTATGTGGAGGAGGCCAGTGGAAGGGAATAGCCAAGCTTTAAGGTTTTCTCCTTGTCGTACATCCTGGCGTGTGTAAGAGAGCTGCTGGCTAAAATCCCACAACCTGAAATACTGGTTTTCATCATCCTTTTTTAATCCCTGTGAAGATGTGAATTGCATAGGCAAAAACAAGCTTCTTGCCTGCCAATTCCCTTGAAGAATTTCTCTGTTGATTTGCTGCATTTGCTCTTTTCATGAATGAGAAGAGAGGAAATCTAATCAAAAGTGTTATCAGCTTGTCAAGTTAATTAGTGTCTATTTTAATACTATCATTATCATTTGTTACTAATATAAGTAACATGATTACAGCTTCTTTGTCTTATTTTTCAGTGAGAAGCTGGATGGAGAAGCTGAAAGATAAGGTAGGAGGCTCAGAGTTTCAATTACTTTAAAAGCAGAAGCATGCTTACTTGCAGGAATAAATAAACTCTTGTCGGTGCAGTTCTTTATCTTTACAAAGACAATTGAGAAAGGGCTTAAATTTTTCTCTGGAAAGCAAATGAACCAGATTCTGGTGTTGTATATAGTGGTGTATATCCACAGTACATCCCTGATGAGTAGTAAGGAGGAACAGGGGTATTTGATAGACTTCTCTGCATTAGCCCTTCTTTTCAGACTACCAGAGTTACTTTCTTAATTGCCCTCTAACTTATCTCTACCCCTTTTCTCTAAGTCCTAAGCTTTGTGGTGGATCCAAATCAAGAGGATCTGGTGATCCTCTCTGGTGAGAGGCTGTGTGCCACATCACCAGCTCTGGACAAGACCTTTACTGCCTTCGTGTGCAAGAGCTGCAAATTCATGGAAGGAAAAAGAAGAAACACAGGAAGACTGAAAAAATAACAGTCTTTTCTTGCTGGTGTTACAGAGTGGTGGTGCATGGCATCAGGAGTTGTGCCAGCCCCAGGCTCTGCTGCCCTAGAGCAAATAATAACATTGTGAAATGGTTGTGAAGCCTTCTAAATCTTGTGTTGATGACAAAGCCATGAAGATAGAAATGAGGTGACAGTAGTGTTTTAAAACAAGAACACTTTATGACTCAAAGAGCTTGGAAACTTTTGAACGTGATCAGAATCAATAGATGAAAAAAATGCCATGATGAATAATGACTCAATAGGAAACTCCAGCCCCTGAAAATGTATCTCTTTAAGTTCTAATCAGATTGTAATCTGGTGTATGCAGCCTTCCCTCATGATCCCCACCAAAGTTCAGCAGCACCTTACGATGAAGTCTGAACAGAGAGATGGAGTCTGTTTTCCAGGATTGGGAATGGAAGGGTTTAAAGTGGGTTGCTGCCCAGCCCTTGTTGCGTTGCTTTTCTGCCTTCAACAGGAAGGAGGCATATCTGGTACTATCTATGCTCATAAGAGAGCACCTTGGCCTGGGATTTAGCCACAGCGAATGCTGAAAGAACAGAGAATGGTTTTCCCAATGAAGGTAAAAAGCAGACACCAAGACTGGTGAATGTGGCATGCATGTGTCACCTGCTCATGCCAGACCTACCCCAGACAGCACAACACAAGCTTGGGAGCATCAGGTACCTTCTCACTGAAGCTTTAGCTTTCACTTCTTTCCTCTTAGTGCCTTGTTGGCTACCTCTGTCCTTGGCGCAGCGGTGTGTGTGTCTCCAACAGAATTGCTCCGTATAGCAGATAGATGTGGCAGTGCCCAGCGCAAGCATTGGTGTAACTGAGGCTCTGCTAGTGTCCACTTATGGTTCTGAGCCATCTCCCTTCTCTGGAGAATAGCACATGTGTGGAGGCAGGTCTTTCACCTTGCTCACATTTTCCCTTAAAGAGTCCAACAAAAAACCACTCCCTCCCCCACAACCAAATGCAGGTGTAGGAAATCACTTGCAAATAAGCCTGCTCACCCCATTTCCTCCTCTTCCTGTGGAGTTCATCAGTACCAATCATATGTACCCCTTTTATTTGCTGTTGGCCTTGGCTCTATTGTAATATGGAGCTCTATCTATTTTACATAATAAATAGTCCCTCCATCCAGAATATCCTTGCACGTGATGGCCCCATCCCTGAGCGATGAGTCCTCATATGTCCATCAGGGCTGCCCTGCTGGGAGAGGAAAGGGTGTGGGGAGTGAAGGACCAGAAGCATGGGTCAGTGACAGATTTATATCTGATCTGCAGTCACTATTCAAATGTTGCGTTTTTTATACCGAATAATGGACATGAGGTTTCTCTGAAGTCCTCTGTTGTTGTTATCTCAAAGTCCAGGAGAGCCAGGAAGGTCGTGGATTGAGTGTATTGAAAGCATCCCTAGGATCTGCAAAGAAGTTGCATCTTCCCCATGGATAAGGGGTAAAAGCATGGCTTCAGAGCTGCCTGTGAAATGGGATTTTCTATGAAGCAAATGCAGAAGCCCTCATGAGTTGGGCTGCTGTGTTCCACTGTGTGTTCTGGCTTGGAGAAAAGGTCCTGGATCTGCTTCATGTTGCAGGCTTTTGGGGTATAAATCATTGGTTTGGGTGTTAGGGGAAGCCTGTAAAAGAGCATGGGCTGGCCAGGCAGAAAAAAGGCTCACAGGCAGTCTAGAAAGTTCATCATATTAAAACTAGTGATTTCTGATATAGAAATTCAACAGGGCAGCAATTAAAAAGCCATTTCCAATTTCCCCTCAGTGCCTGCGCCAGCAGCAAAGTTCCAGAAATAGAAAAACCAGGGCTGCATTAATTAGATCACTCAATTAAGGCACCTTAATTGCCTCGCAGAGATACAGTCTGCGTTCTCACTAACCTCCTTTTTCACTAACTGGGTTGCAGGCATGCAGCCCCCTCCAAGCACTTGTGCTGATCAGGGCTGTTTTTTCTGGGAGGGTGCTCAGGAAACGTGCACAGTGCACCTCAGGATGCTTCAAGCCTTAGAATCCACACACAAAGGTGTTACTATTTAAAGCTCTGAGTAGGAACTGGAGGGATTGGGGAGAGCAAAACAGCCCTTGTTAGCATTGTATCTGCCCTAGATGAAAGCAGTTATTTTCATTATCCAGGTAAGCGTACAAAGCCAAGGGCAGCATGCACTGAATAGCTTTTCCCACACACACACTCAAAGGGTTATGGAGAAAAGCAATTACGGTGTAAGCGAATATTGTTAAGCTGTGTTGCAGTTTGGGAATGCAGATGAAGATGAGTGGTTGTAAGCAATGGACTGAGGCTTGCTAAGAGCTGTCTGATAGTCATCTGATTGGTACATGTGTCCCTGGGTAGGTGTAAAATCTATTTTGAGGGGTGTAGATGGTGAAGAGTAAAGGTGTAGTGCCACAGCAGAGGACTCTGTTGCTGCAGTGTGAACAAAGGCAGTGCTAATAAGGGAGTAAGCCATTGCCTGCCTCCCTTACTCCATTGAGACCCCCAGCCTGAATTAGTTGAGGATGCTGAAGCAATCTGGCACTTTAAGACTTCAGTTAATTTTCATTTAAAACAGTAAAATATAAACTAACAAGCACTTGGGAATATTTTCCAAAGGATTTTGAATGTTTAAATGTGCAATTTTAAATTAGTCATGCTATCTATGTATTTTTTTTTAATGGGCAATGCAAATGTAAGGATCACAGCAACTGAATTAGAGCTGATTTAAATTTGCTGTGCTTCCCATAAGGCCAGCTGAAGGTCTGTGTGCTCTCCCTTTATGTCACTGTCCTGCTCATGCAAGTGACCCCTTCCCATACAAAGCAAAAACATTTCTTTCAAAGATTTTGAGGATGAAGCTGAGGAGGCTCGGGCTGCACTAGGGAGGGGGAGGGCAAACTGCTGCTTCTCTCTGAAAAGTGAGTGCAGCCTGCCTTGCATTTTAGTTCCTTCAGAGAACCAGCTGTGGGGCTGGGAGTCACTTCTGCCATTGCCATGCTGAGATACGACATTAATGTCCCTGAGCACTTGCTTTGCCATACCAACATGTCTATGGGAAGCATGGGAGCTGTGTATGCCTTTACTGGAGGTATATTAGCAGTCTGGCCATAGTAAGACACACTCTAGCAGTCATAGCTGGCCAGGAGGATGCTGGGTCCCTTTCCTATCCACCTCCGATGATGGAGGCTAGTATCCCTGCTTCACAGAGCAGCTATTCTCTGAGAACACCTCCTAGACCATTCTGCCTGCTCCCTGGCTGATGCCTGCTGTCTTACTTGGTGGCTCTTACACACTGGTTTTTCTGCCTGCTTTTGTCACCCTAGAGCTGTGGTGCAGGGGGCTATGGGCATCAGTGTGCCGAGGCACATGTCACTGCAACACTTGGTGCCGTGGTGCTAGTCCAGATCTATGCAGAAAAGCATAAGAGCATCTTTCACATCTCTGGGTTGAGCTCTGCTGAACATGGCCAGACATATACTTGTGCCTTGATTTATGCTGGTGGTACCTGGGGAGCTCAGAGAAGCAGCCTACTTTACACAGGTTGTAGTGAAGCTGTTTGGGGGATCGTGGGTCTTTGTTGTGGCTCAAGATTGCCTGCTTTTGGCAGTTGAGGTTTTCCTTCACACGTGCACCTGTGTTAGCAGGCGCTTCATCCCAGCACTTGCAACTCTGCACCAAAATTGTTTCCTGTCCTAAAGGTGGATAAGTGCTGCAATGTCTCGGCTATCACAAGGAAGCATCTGTAGTAAAAACTGACAGTGAGTAGCTGTGGTGGTTACCAGCTTGGGCCTTGAGTGGGAGCTGGTTGGGCTTAGCAATTCTGCAACAGGGCCCATCCTATGCAGATGGGTGATAGGGACTTAAATAAAATAAACTGCAATGAAAGCAGTCCTAGACTGATGAAAAACAGCTCCAAAAGGATGGTCTTGTGAGTGCTGCTCTGCTTCTTTCTTTTCCATGTAGGCAGGATACATGTCTGGGATGCTGGTTCCTGTAGGAGTTGGAATAGCTGGAGCCCTCTTTATCCTAGGAGCACTCTACAGCATTAAGATTATGAATCGCCGAAGGAGAAATGGCTCAAAGAGACATAAAAGAAAGGTATGGCAACTGCAAAGGAAAACCCCCATCCCACCCACTCTCCCATTGTCCATTTTTTCTGTTAAGTGAGTGCAGCCTGATTATAGTTTGTCTGGGTTGAAGTGGCTGGGACCTCTCAGAGTATAGGCGGGATCTGAATGCTCTTCATTTCCTTTTTGCATGTGGAGCTCTTTCATGTTTCTTTTCTTCCTCTAGCAGAGGGAATTTAACAGCATGCAAGACCGAGTCATGCTCTTAGCTGACAGCTCTGAAGATGAATTTTGAATCAAATTGCAGTGCCCTTGTGATAACCCGTGACTTTTAAAAGAAGGGAGGGGGAGAAAAGGAACAAGAGACTTCCTGCTGCATCGCTGCTCTCCGCCATCCTGCGCCACCGAGTAGTGATCAGTACACCCCGGCAAAACAGCATGCTATGCTCAACGTGTACTCCACAGTGATGTTTATTTTGATACAGTAGTGAGATTCCACATTCACTCCTGGGGCCTCATTCAGATCCACAGCGCGTCGTGTTACAGCTGGAGCTGATCCATATGGATGATTATTTTCCTATTACCCTGGTGTACTGTTTCGGTCCTGGCTGGCAGTAATCTAATCATAACAGCAGCTCTCACCTAACCCAGGAATGGAAATCTTTACTGTGAATGACTTCTGTCCAATTGATTTTAAATATTACGTTACCTGAGCTAGAGTTCATTAGTGCTAATATTAGCTGCTCTGCTTAATTATTGAGTTACTACACACTTGTATCCCTTGCCACCTGAGAAGTGCCCACGTACAGTATCCTTGGTACAGTTTGAAGCACATTTCTGCACTCGGGTCCCTCAACTTTCACCCCTTCTTTCTTCCTTCAGCTCTGCTCCATGCTTCTTGGAGACACACAGGAATGGCCTCAACACTTGATTCACCACAAAAATCCCAATCCATTTTCAACCAGCACTGTTACAGCACAATAAATACCAGTGCTCTCCTACTGACAGATAGTCTTGCATGGATCTCTTAGCTTTTGTTCAGTGTGCAAGTAGGCAAGAGAAGGGCAGGTCAGGGGTTTCTTCAGGTTCTGCCTCCTGCTTAAAGGATGCTAGTTATTGTTTTATCTCTCACAAGGCTGCATTTACATAGAGATGAAAGTGAACAGCAGCACCTTTGGGGGATGTGCATGGATCTGAATGCAGAAAGGCCCAAAAGGTTGCAGAGCAGCTGGCTGTCAGTGTTGAGGGATTAGTGGCTAATAGTTGGAAAGCAGTGGCAGCCACAGCTGGGGAGGCATCTGCTGTGGAGAGGTGTATGGTCACACTGGGGCATGGGGGATAGGTGAGGCTGTAGAACAGATGGCTGCAGAGGGTTGTGGAGGTGCAGCCCAAGGGTGGCACAGGGTAAGGGCAAGCTCACCAGGTTACATAGTCAGGGTCTTAGGTGTCACAGGAACCGAGCATGGGAAACTAGGGAAACTAGTGTTGCTTTGCACAGAAATTCCATCAAAATAGCTAGAAAAGGGGCTTCTGGTTGGGAAATTACTTCAGTCTGGCATTTATGCAAGACATCCATGTGTCTGAGGTGGGAATTGTCCTTCATACAAGGAACAGCCACTGTTGCTGGAGTATATCTGATTAGAAAAATAAGGCCAGACCATACATCTTCTGAAATTAATTCCCACTGAGTTTTCAAAGAAGTGGAAGGGAGGAGAGTTTGAGGAGGGACAGATGCAGGATTTCAGTCCTTGTAAAGGTGTAAAGGTCTGTCAGATTGTAAAGGGTGAATGTTGATGATAGTAAGCAAATGTCTTGTGAGCATGTGAGTGGGTTTGCAAGGTAGAGAGGACATTCAGAAGACCCTTCTGAAGCGGAGTTCTCTCTTGAGAGAGTGAGGGCCTCCTCTGGGTGTTAAGTCATCAGATATGATGTTTAGCTCTGAACAAGCAGTGCTCTTCAGAGTCCAGGAACTTTCCTGTAGGCTTTACCCACGTGCCTACTGAGTCACCTGGAGAAGGACAGGCAGGTCAACCTGGTATCAAAATGCTGCTACTAATGCTAGTCTTCCAGTTGGAGTGTGTGGTCCCTCACACATTCATCCTGCTTAATGTGTGGTAAAAAAACTGCTCCATCACATGTTGAGGAGTCTTCATACCCTAATCCCTCTAGGACAGGCTTTCCCAGCAAGGGCTCCACAGTGCTTGCATCTCTCCCTTTTCATTCCTGAAACTTCGACCAGGAGAATTTTGCCTTGCTAAAAGCAGCTCTGTGTTATTAACAGGCTCTGACTGGCAGTTAAGTTCACATGCCCCTACCCAAAATCAAAGCCTCTTTCTTCTATAATAAGTGATCAATCCAAGCTGAGAAGTTTTCCTTCCAGATGGATCTCTCCCTATTTATTTCTCATTCCTAAGTCTCTTGGAGCTTGGAGGTGGTCAGGAGGTGCTAACAATCCAGTGGTGCATTGCTGGCTGTCTTGCAGTTTTGAAAATCAGGAAATGTTGTCCCTTGTTCTTTGATAATTTCTTCCTAGCAAGGTGTGATGGGAGTTGCAAGGTTGGAATGACATCTCCTCCATTATAGTTTCCTGGAGAGTATCTCCAGAAAGGCTTGTCTTTTAGGTATAGTGCCAGGCAGGCTGGAAACAAGACTATGTAGGCAGCTGCAAGATGTTCATGAAATACTTTACCCTGGTCCAGCCAGGGAGGTATGGAGAATATGCAATGACAAAAGGCATGGACCTCTCTGAGAAGAGGGTATGTGTCTTGGAGCAGAAGGGATGCGAGCTGTGCATGAGTCCTTTGTATGCAACTGTAGCCTGAAAGAGAGACCCAAAATAACACTGGAAAAGAAGAGCTACCAGCGACACTGCAGAAGAGAGCAGATGTACCAGCAAGACCCAAGCAGCTGGAGATCAGCAGGGTTTTGTGCAGTGACTGCCTATGAAGGGTAGTCTCCTCTCGTTTTCCTGTTAATGGTGCTGTGCCTGCACAGTGCGTGGTAACAACACAAGTTGTGTTAAGTAACTGATAAGACACAGAGCTCCTGGGCCAGTCTGAGTACCCCTGCTTTGGCAGCACAGGAAGAGCTTTATGGAAGGGTTGTCAATTTGATAGATTGTGAAGGCTGGTAAGGAGGAGCCGTGGCCTTTTGTTGTGCTAATAAATCCATAGTTTAGGAAACAGTTTCTACAGTGGCAGTTTCACTGCCTCTCTTCTTCTCCCTCCCCCATCACAGAATCAGCTAGGCTGGAAAAGACAGTTGTAGCCAAAAGGGAGGTCCAGCTGCATGCATGGTTTGGTGTTGGCTGTCTGGTCTGTGCTGGAGAGAGATTTATGTGCTAGAAGGGCTGGCCAAGTATTTTGCCTGTGGTCCACCTTCTCTCCCAGTTCTTTGTCTGGTTCTGAACACCATCAGCTGAGGTGCCTTGTTGGGAGATGCTTGTTGGAAGAAGCTCTACTTCCTGCATCTCTCAGCAGTGCAGAGAGATTACAACCAGTGTCCATTTGAAGTGGAGGTGTTTGTTGAATAGTTGCTTTTGGTCAGGCACCTGTCCCAGAACCTGGAGGCTCCCCATGTTTTCAGCTTACCTATTCTTAATGCGGAGGAAAGATGGACAGTCAAAACCAGCCTTGGGTCCTGGTGAAGCATGTGGGAGCCTTTGGAGCACAGAACAGGGTTTTCTGCAATACCCCTGAAATCAGTGCAATTTCTGCAGCACATTAAAGCACAAGCATTATTCAGCTCCTTCCCTTCTTATTCAAGGCCACTAGACTTTGGATTAGGCTCTTAAAAATATTCTTTATACCATTTCTGGAGTTTGATTCATTTGCTTGAAATTATCAGATTGCAGATAGGGAGAGGAGAAAGGTTTCAGGTGGGAGCTGAAGCCTGCACTTTCTTAACACTCTACTGATTTAATCTGTACCTCTGCAGTGCCAAACAAGCAGATTCTTTTGAAAGAGGCAGGACAAAAAAACCTAAACAAAAAACAGGTCAAGAAGAGCTCTCCTTATCTGTGCTGGGTGAACTGCAAAGCCACTGACTGTAGAGGTGGGTCATGGCACTGCTAATGCAGCCTTGGCCCCATGCAAAGGCACAGCTGCAACCGCAACTTTGCTGCAGCAGTAATAATCTCTCAACTCAGCACGAGTCACTCGCCTCTGTTTTTGGTTTACCTGATAGCACAAGCCAGAATTTATTGTAGGCATAACACAACTGCTTAGCATCCTCAGCCTCATTCCCAGCAGGAGAACCAGCCTGCCTGATGTGCAGCTCTTGCCCTGATGAAATGCACTTACGCTATACAGCTGCTGACTTTTAAAGGTGTCTCTAATGCCACATGTTCACCTAGGTAAGGTTTCTCTGGACTGCACTGCTTCCGTAGGGTCCTCGTGCTCTCTTGTGGTTTTATATTTTGGACAAGAACGACTCCTCATACTGTAACTATGGAATGTAGCACTTTGTTAAATTAAAACATTGGGAAATAAAGAGCTGTCCATCATACCCGACTTCAAGCACCTTGTCTCCTTGATCTGTGGTTCATGGCATTCACTGTGTTTCAGGTAAAGCTGTGAAGTAATTGTGTGGAAGGTTTGAGTGATGCTGTTGTTTCTTCCTGCTGCATGGTTGGTGCAAGGACTCAGGCTGGGCTTGCAGGGGTGATACAAGCAGCAAGGAGCCTCAGCCTGGGACTTTTTGGGTAAAGTTTACCTGGAGGTAAGTGTTGGCTGTAGGGTGTGATGAATAACATGCCGTATTCCCTCAGCTGGGTTTCCAGTAGCTGTAATGAGCCTAAACACTGACATGCTTGCGTGGTTTAAACCCTAGCCAGACAGCTTGTTCACTCACTCCCAGTGAGTGGTGCCGGGCTGAGAGCAGTCGAGGCCCCCCCCCTCCCCGGGGCTCTCCCCTTCCCCGCTCCTGGAGGAACGGGGAGGAGGATCTAAAGAGTGCAACTCCCACGGGTTGAGACAAGAACAGTCCAGCAACCAATGTACAACACAAATCACCACCGCTACTATCAACTACAACAATGATAAGAGAAAATAACACGGGAAGAGAATACGATACCACCGGCCAAGAAACGAGTCCCACCCGGAAGCCCGTGTCCTTCCGGGTAACTCCCAGTTATCCCCCACCCCGGGCATGATGTGCTGTGGTATGGAATTCCTCTTGGCTAGCCTGAGTCAGGTGTCCTGTCTCTGCTTCCTCACAGCTTCCCCTCCTCCCTGGCAGAGCATGAGCCTCACAAAGTCCTTGGTCAGGGTAAACATCACTTAGCAGCAACCGAAAACATTGGCTTCACCAACACTGTTCCCAGGCTGGAAGTCAAAACACAGCACTGCACCAGCTACCACAAAGGAAAAACATGACTGCTACTGCTGAACCCAGGACACATGCTTATACCATTCTTCTTTACATACAGCCAGGCATCTTTTTGTCCATACCAGGGTATTTGTCCTCTACATTTTGTCCTGTGAGGAGGGTCTGTGCCCATGTGCCCTGTGTTCTTTCAAGACCCAGTAATATGGCACTGGTGATCCTTGAGACTCAGTTGCAGGTGCTGCAAATGTTTCATAAAGGAACAGCTTTATTGCAGGTGAATGTCCCTCCACACATCTGTATGGACCTGCGATCCAAGCAGAAGAATCAGACTCAAGAGGTATACAGGCTGGGTTTGGAATTGCCTTCAAAGCTCTGTTTGCAGATATTCTTGCATTGTATTACTGCCTGCAAGTACATGAGATGGGTATGCTTCCTTTTGCCATATTGTGTAAAGGTGGAGGTCCCACAGTGGGAATGTGACCCAGCGGGACACAAAGCCAGCCTGTGGCAGTGACTGCCTGCCCCTCTCCACTCTTCTACTAATAAGAGCCAACGAGAACTATTTGTTCAACTGTGTGCATTTTCTCTAATGAAAAATGGCTTGTTCAAAAGGAGAAATTCCCAGGGAAATAGCTGTTCTGGGATTGCATGAACACATTCTTTGCTCATTGGCAG